CAGATATGGGACAGAGATCGATTAGGATCACAACGCACGCCTTTGCCTCGAAACGCGTGTTGAAATACCTACCTGGAAGTGATGATCAATGACCGGCTAAACTTCAATACCCACGTCGAATATGTCTGTGATAATGCTTGGAAGGCCATCAACATAATAGCTAGAATCATGCTGAACAACTCTATTCCTAGCAATATCAAGAGGCGTCTTCTGGCTAGATACTGAGGTATGGAGGCCCAGCCCTGTTTGCAGCACTGGAATCGAAGCAAAACCAAAGGAAACTGAGCAGCAGTGCGGCTCATGGCCATGCGAGTCGTGAGTGCATACAGAACCACCCAACAAACAATTTTAGCTGCCGATCAGCTTATACAAGCACAAATTAGCTGCATAAGGCAAATTTTGGCTGTATAAGCTTATTTACAGCTAAAATTGTTAGCTGGGCATCTCATCGGAAGCAGTATGCGCTATCGCCGGAATGAACCCTATCGGCATCACCAGGTGGAAGACAGTGAGTGCTACAGTCGGAGAGAAGCCGGTAGAGTACGGAAAGTGGTGAAAGCGGAGTCTTTGGTAAAGTGGCAATAGGAGTGGAACACGTTGGATAGCGGTAGATGGACACATCGGTTATTGCCGATTCTTTCGACCTAGGTGAACAGAAAACACGGAGAAGTCTACCACTATCGGACGCAGTTCCTGTCTTACCACGGCTGCCTCAGGAAATACCTGCATCGGTTCGGACACGCAGTGCCACCCTTCTACACGGAGTGTGGCAACGTGGATGAAACGCCGGAGCATGTGGTCTTCGACTGTTCAAAGTGCGAGACAGCGCCAAGGGAGATGCCTGTCCTTAACGTGGAGAATGTTGTCGATGAAATGTGTTTAGAGGAAGGCACTTGGAATGGAGAGAGGAGCAGCTATCTAGCCCCGTAACGTGGGTAGATTACCTTTCCGTGGTACGTTACGGGATGTAAGATCTACCACCGATTCCTAGTCCTGACTACTTCAAGCTAGGAGAACAGGATTTTTTAGTAATCCAAGGAACACATCCCTAGCAGCACACATGTCACTGGACAATTGTGGTTACTTGTGTGCCACTTATTCCAGTCACAATCAAGTTGCAGCAGCTTATTTCGATCGAAGTGTGCTGCTCGGGATCTTAGTCCTTGTTACTTTTTATGCCTTGTTGATAGTGACAAGACTTGGCTTTGTCTACCGAGGATGATCTTGAAACAAGGGAAAAAAAAATGAGTTAGCTGTCTTCATCTATGTGATTCTTAATCTTCTATTCGTTGTTCCATAGTTTGAAGTGGTTAAGACTAGGGTTCTGATGCATGGTCATTATTGGTGTCATACATGAATTTTGTTGCTAAGGAATCCAATTTTGACTGACAAAGGGGCGCGCGTTTCAACACTCCGAAGGGTATAAATAGCGTCGGATCCTTGCGATAAATGCAAGAGTGGCAACTGTAAAAAAATCGAATACTTCATAATTTCTCAATAGTGATGGAGTAGTACCATAGAGGTAACTCTAAGACCAGAAGGTCCCGAAGAAACGAGCTCAACTATTTGGCTCAGCTCTGGTACTATCTTCGGTCCCAAGCGAGGGGGACGACTCTATCTACGATGCAGAAAAGATTGTGTTTTGCTGTGGCTAGCTGCGCGCACGCTGAGTAGATAGAAAGAAGATTGATGACGATTTTGAAGATTTCCTGCAAAAAGATGATGCGCGATGCAAGTAAATGCGAGAAATGAAAGAAGATTTTTCGAAGATTGATTCGCTAGTGTGAGATTTGTTGAGAATCTAGACTTGAGATTTAGATGTGTCACCCCCCTCAGTCCCAAGCTAATCGATTCACCCCTAGAAACATAGGAAAATCCACAAACCCCTCATTTTATCTGTCAAAAATTCATAGCAAATTAAAACAAACATAGTGTAGTACTAGAATTTCGACTAGAATGGGGAACGTTAATCGTTTGCTTGGGACCAATAGGCTAGTCAAGTAGTGAGCCAATTTAAAATCGTTAGTTTCGTATTGATTGTTGGTAATACGACATGCACTAAACTAAGGACACGAGATATACTACAATAGATCAATTTACTGGTCGCAGTAGTGTTAGGTCCCGAACAGAGGAAAAAAAAAAATCTAGCAACGCCAGCTAGCACTTACACACTTAGAAATTATCACCGACTTCGGTAAATTTTACCGAAATCTGAACAGCTGAACTTTTCGGTAAAATTTATGCAATTCAATTCAATTGCTTTTCAGCTACTTTGAAACTAAATATCCACTAAAATGACAAGATTTGATCATTTAAACAAGGATATTATTTTCAAATTCAAAAGCCTTAAAAATGAAGGTCAAATTTTTACCGAACGTTCAACTGTTCTGATTTCGATAAAATCTACCGAAAACGGAACCAAAATCTTAGTGTGTAGAGCAGTGCTGATAAAAATCATTCCTTCTACACTCAACTTACCTGAAAATGAAGACAACTTTTACAGATAGACCAACTACCTGCATGAATTTGAATTTTGACATAAACACATTGTTTTCATCAAGGCAACCTCTGAGTATCGAAGTCAACATTTCATTCATTCGTGGCTCGATGTTTATTATCGCCTGTGTTGTTGTCAATATCAATATCAAGGATTAAATGCAAAATGATTATTTTCATATTACACAAATATAGAGGTGTAGAACGTGTTGTGTTGGTTTTTATACACAGATTGATAAAAAAATATTGCATCATGCTGAATTATTGATAATATCGAGGTTTTAGGCTGGAGTCGATAATATTCAAAATAATCATTTTGCCCAAAATGAATTTGATTATTTTGCTTTTGACGATCGCTTCTGAGATTGACAATTTTGGGTTGTATAATCAAGCAGTGGTGAATATCAACAAACGCGTATTCGTTGATGTATAATGAACTCATTTGTTCATTTTGCTCGTACGTGACAGCGAAAATAATTCTAGACGAACGCAATTCATCCATACTGGGTTGAAGCGCTACTGCTTGCGTGTATGATAAAAACAGACACTGACTGAGAGTATGAGAAGTGCCAGCCCCCTCGAAGTAGTTGCTTCAGCGTGGTCCCGGGGGAGAGGAGAGAGTAAGGAATGGGCTTTAGTGGAGCTACACTAGGCAACTAGTGGATACCACCCCGTGCCAACTTCAATACAGGTCTGGCTTTTTGCCCCTCCCCCCCCCATTTTCTCTGCTTTGAAAGTTGATACATATTTCATTATCGTCAAAGGAAATTATTTCAATAATTTTAATTATTTTATGGTTTTGAAGAGTTTTTACAAACTCAATCAATCTATTTACCAATGTTAGAATTTAATGGTTTTCTGTGAAATTACCAGCGATATAAAAAATGGCTACATTTAGTTGCAACTAAATTAAAAAAAAAATACGTTTTATGTCATCAATTTGTTTTAATGCAACAATATAAATATGTAAAAATAATTGGAAACTTTTTCAAATATTTTTAGAAAAATCAGAACATGCCAGGAAAAGGTGTTTTTTTTTGTTGGGTAAGCTTCTCGTTAGGATTTTTTTTCGGAATTTAATTGTATTAAATGGAATTATATTTTGGACATATCTGTGTTCTGATCAGAAGGAAAAGACAAACGGTGAATAATAAGGTCTACTCTCGCCTCTCCAATGATAAGCCTGGATTGCAAACTCCGTAGAGTCACATAAAGCCACGTCACATCATCAATGAGCACATAGTTGCGTCATCGTAACTCTTAGACTTGTGAAAGACGATACTGCGTAGCTAGATGGATTATCTAAATACTAATGTGTTTTACAATGCTGGAAAGCAACATTAATCTACAATTAAACCTTCGTATGAACATATTCTCTACAATAAGAGATTATAATCATTGGAATTGTCAAAGCTATAGGTACTTGAGCAGTATAAGATCTGTCAACGCGAATAAAGTGACAATAGAAAAAGGGAAACAATTACTCCCGTGGAGGCAGTCAACTGTGCCAAATGACACAGAAACGTCGGAACCGTTTGGCTTAAGGTTAGGGTTAGTGTGACAAATGCGCATTTGCCTTTTGCGAGCTCTTATATATCCACTTACTTCGATAATGGCACCAGTAGAGATGAACAGATAAGTACAGATAGGTACCTACATGTATGAATGCGTCTCGAATCCGTTTGCTAATAGGAGTGAACATCAACGCACCTGGGATGTAAAAGTAAGTCAAAGTGTGAAATGAAATCGTCTTCAATCTGGGGCGATGTGAAATTAGTTCAAAATTTTTGCGGAATTGGTCTGGATTTAAGGTCACTAATTTTCACATCAAATGTTTCCATTTGATTTTTCAGACCCAAAACTTACCCGTGGATTTTGTATCACGGAGTAAATTACGCATATTTATAACCTTCGTAGGACTTGAACAAAGCGTTCAAAGTTCTAGATAGTAACCTGGGTGATGCGGTGTGGCATCTTTTCAATGTTGGCAGTGCTATTCTTCGCCAACAGCTCAATCGTGACTCTTGGATTGTTTGTTTACGTTCGTTAATTCGTGAATGATTCGAGTGAAGCAAAATGAACCAATTTTGATGTAAAAAAGTTTAAAAGTTATTTTGATATATTTATTTAAAAAATGTGGCTTATATTATCACTACATTTAAATGTAGGGAGATTTATATTTATGGCTTTGGGGTCCGTCTTCGCATCACCCAGAAAGTAACTATCGTTCCCTTCGTTGTCACTCTTCTCCTATTTCCATAGCGTACACATCCATTCGAGGGTATGTACCTATACGTAAAAAAAAAAGATCGTCACAATGAGTGATTTCTGAAACAATCATAATAATCACCGCGTGTCTACATGTGATGTGGTTGCTTACCTAGCGTAAGTAGTGAGATGTATAGGAAATGATTCTCGGCGTAAGCCGCCAAGACACCAGGGGGATAGCATCTGCTAAGTAACTCCGGTTAAAGTTAGTTTCACTCGGGAACTCGACGGAGTCGTATGGTTAATCTCGGAACTACTTCGGGAGTGCTTTGTATTCAGTGATAGTTGTAGTAAATTTTATGAAAATTTGTATGCTGTTACCGGTGACTGAAGATGGGTGCAAGAATCTTACTTACTTTCGGTGTTATACATGTGATATTCAATGGCGTTATTTCGCAAATAAGTGACCTCCGATATACAGAGGTAATGATCTTAACCAGTAATGCCTGTGTTCGGCTACGATAAATATAGACAGCTGATTGCTTCGAGTGAAAAACCCCGATGATAGTAACTGGAGTATGTAAATTTCTCTCTGTTACCGACATACATTTAGGGTGCGCTACGCTGCGTCGACGTGTGTGCCGCCACGACCCCAATGTGCGCTCAAGCAGCAAGCTCTTCTTTGCCGAAATGAGAGTGTGTGTTCTATGCGTTCTATGCTTTCTTGAGAAAAGTGCTAACGGTGGGGTGGAAAGTGTTTATACCGGTGACAATCTACAGGAAAGCATTTTTCTCAGTTTGTTGATCCATTGAATAGATGACAGAAATGTTCAACAAGCCTTGACATAACCACCGGTAGCCAACTGTATTAGATGGGACGCATGGGATTCAAGAGGATTCAAGTGAATTCGACATAAACAGTAGTCGACAGTTATGCAAATATTCATCGCTCATGATTGCGTATTGAGAGTGCAGCAATTGAAATTTGATAATTCTGGATTTATTTTTTAATATAACATAGTGAGAAATATTGTGTATAATCAATAGGGTGATTTACTGGTTTTATGTATATTTGTAATACAGATAATAAGCTTAACTGTAGATCATTATGGCGAAATGCTAGGACGAGATGAACGAAAAGTTCAGTTTTTCTATAGTAAAGTGTGTAGGGTAAACGCTCCTATAGTTGCGGTACGTTAGAAGCGTTAGGTTCCTATAGTTGTGTATGGAGACTCCGTACACAACTATAGGAACCTAACGCTTGTAACGTACCGCAACTATAGGAGCGTTTCCCCTATATAGAACTAAGACGACTTAAATGCTGTTTATGGCGGCTATAGTGAACAGATTTATGGTGGTAAGCTCCAACCGATATTATCCTGGGAACAAATCCCGATCATTAATATCAAGCTGCTTTGACGTCGAAATCAGAGTTAATCATCACGACACTAAACAAACATCTGGCAGATTATCCAAACAGAGTCGGAATTAAAAATTAATCCAAGGTGGAGTTTATCGTCATTAGTGATTGAAACGTTAAAAGGCGGCGTCCATAAATTACGTTACGCTTACAGATGGAGAGGGGTCATCTATATCGTTACGAATTGTTACATATGGGGCGGGAGAGTGTAGCTTTGTGTAACGTAACAAAGAAAGTAAAACATTTCAACAACGATTTTTTGTTTTTTTTTTTCTATGAAAAGTTTGAAAAGACTGGTCAAAAAATTTCGTCACTAAATCTTGCTTGTAAAATGGATGTGTTTTTATTTTCTATCGTGAGTTTGTCTTCTATTTCGTTATACTTTTGAAAAGCAAGTACTCGATGGTGCTTTGCTCGGGTAATGTATTCAACAAAACAATTAGATAATTCTCAACAAGACGTTAGTTCATTTTCCAACAATTCGTTAACAGCAAAACTTGAAGTTAAGTTGCTTTCTTTTTAAAAAAAAAACTGCACAATATGTAATTAGACTTATTTCACGACAATTAAAATCAAAATGAGTTTTCTTTATGATACGAACAGCAAACTTTATTATCGATTTGCTTTCATTTTGCTAACCAATTTTGCTCAAGTAGTATTATATTTTTTTTGATAGCTCATGCTTTTCTACTTAACATATAAAAATTTCAGGAAAGCGTTTTCTTTCGTTTTTGAGATATTAAGTCGTATATTTTTGCCTCAAAACTACAAATGCGTCTCCAATGGATAAAAGTAACTGAACTGCCATGTCTGCATTAATTTAAAATTATTGTACTGAGGACTTAGACCTTTTTATAAAGTATGTGTTACATATTTTACAAACATATTAAAAAGCAATTTTCGTGTTTTTCGCCTGTTTGAAAAAAACTCAATCCATCACGTACGGTAGTAGTGATTAGCATCCATACCTCTCACGTCAACGTCACGAGTTCAAATCTCACCCCCGGACAAGTCACGAATGACCCAAGTGCGTTAAAGTGACCACAATAAAAAAAAGCATTGCGTATGAAATGTATTTCCGATATAGCCAACACAAATTCAATGTTGTATTCTTATTGCTTATGATGTTTTCTAATTAAATATTCATACAGAGTTTCATATTTCGATAATTAAATTGTCTGAGTTTCACGCATTTTCTTTCTATATTCATCAATCATTATCAAAGTAACCCCAAAACAAAATACTGATGGTCGGTCACAACACTACAAAAATAGTGCAAATGCTTTAATTTCCGTTAAACATAATACTAACGAATTAACTCTAGGATCCTCAGTACTTGTTTAAAAATAAATAAATTTGAAAAACATTCATTGCTGTAAAAAATATTTAAAATATGGATCATTCCAGCTCAAGTGGTCACCTGTGGTCGATGTCACCGATTTGAGTCAAACTTGGCCAAACGTTTTTTTTTATTTTACTCTAAAATGCCTAGATCCCTGGATTTTCGAGATTTTTTAAAATTTCAACTTTCAGAAGAGATTACTCCTCAATCAAATAAACTATTCGTGATCTTAGAACGTCAATTTTAAGGTTTTTTTTAATGTAGATTCACATAAGAGTACTAACATTTTGTTTTGGTTATACTAACTACAGTAAACAGGCTAATAACCGGCAGGTATCAAAATTGTAAAAAAATTGCCTATTTTCACCATGGGTGGGATTTGAATATTTTGAGTTCAAATTTTCACCACACTTTTGAAAACTCTTCTACTAGATGTGTTTCCAAGGGCAAATGATTTGGGCAAATAGTTTTTTTTAAAATATGACCAGATGAGATGCTATTTAATATTTTTTCTTGAATTCCTTCCGCCGATGGCACAATAAAAATTTAATGCTATTTTAACATGTTATGGGCAGGATTCACATTATATGAAATCATAACTAGCTCATTTATTTACCTCTGTTCATAATTTAAAGGGTTCCTAAAAGTGAAAATACGTTACTGTGGGATACAGGCAAAACGTTGTAAGGCTATACGTTCCTATTATGGTGTGTTCCAATTATGGCCTATGGGAATTCCATAGGCCATAACTGGAACACACTATAATAGGAACGTATGGCCATAACTGGTACACATACCCTACGATGAAATCGGATAGATTAGCAGGTACATATATAAAATGATATATATGACGACAGCTGCTGCTTGAATAATACCCTTGATTGTATTTTATTAGATTCAATCTTACGAGCCAGAATGCTTTTTTTTATTATAGTTATAAAGACAAATATGCGTTGAACCTTTATTTTTCATTTTTTGAAAACACACTTTTCATTCATGAACGTAACTGTCATGTTCTTCTTCTAAGCATTTGAAGCTACGCACAGGAAAGAGGTGCAGACTTATATTTATGTCTAAGTATTAGTATAGATTTTTAGGCTTGCCCGTATACAAGTGGACGAACCAAACTGATTTTGAACAATGGTTTTGCTGACGATACATGACAGTAACGTTTACAGTTAACTTAATAACCGTGGAAGTGCATCTAGAACACTAAGTTGAGAGCACGCAATAAGCTAATATGCCTTAAGCAATAAGCAACTTTTAAAAATTCTGTACCCACTTGAGCTGGAATAACCCATAAATTAACAAAACAAAAAAAACTATCAAAATCTTCAATGTTACCCCGTTTTACGGTACTTAAAAAATTACTTAAAAGCCCACGGAGTTCATTGTAATTTCTGATTTTTTAGAAATTTATTCCTTTGTTGTACAGATGCTGTGTAAGGATTTCATTGGGCAAATTCACAGTATTTTTAATAAATTATAATGATGAATATTAGGATTTAAAGTTTACAAGTTTTAAAACAATTGCTGAGTTCACCAACCACAATCACGTCGCAGCATTGACGTAGCTAGACAATTTATCTGAAGGGGACCTAGATAATTCTGGAGGGGGCCTAGATAATTCTGGAGCGAAGCCTAGATAATCCTGGATTGGGCCTAGATAATTCTGGAGGGGCCTGGCCCCCCTGGCACCCCCATTAGCTACGCCAATGCGTCGCAGTTCTATTATTTATTGTTCCCTGTATAAACTTCTTAGCACTCCAAACACGAAGCCTCCAGCGAAATGTGTAAAGGCAAGCTTACAATGTCATTTCATAACAACGGCAACTGAACTTTACACATGGGCTATTTCTAATCCTGATTCAGAAGTACACTACGAGTTTTTTTAGAAACAGATTATAAAGCAATGGATAGGAAAATCAAAATCCATTACACTCGTGTAAAACATATTGTCAGGAAATCTCTAACTAATTCCCATTAAAAATAAGAACGAATCGGAAATCGAACCTACCGCCTCCGGCTTGGTAATACATATCATGACTTTACTGACAAGGCTTGAAGATATACTACTTTCAAATTGAAAAGAGTCATTGTGTCCAAGGTCATTTTTAATTAATAAAAACGCTTTGAACTAATAGAGACGCTTGGTAGTATTGAGGCAAAAACATAGGACTTAATTCAAAGTGTTTTTATGTTACTTCATACGCGAAGTTTGCGATTTTCAGAGTTGGTTGGAAATGCTAACATGAAGCTTTAGTGTGATAATTTATTAGCTAGAGAATGATCTTTAGAAGAGGGTAGGTGGATAGTTCCGTTAGAGTACGGCAGTATGAAAATTGAATAGAAGTTGAAAATTAGCGAAGGGCCATTAATGCGATAGTATAAAGTCAAACGCACACCTTTTGCCTAACCCGTAGGATGTACGCGGAGACTTGAAGTATATCTTCAAGTCTACAGGCAAAAGATGTGCGTCCGCCTTTTGCTCATTACTGACTGCGTCCTATGTTAGTACCCTTCATCTAGATAAAATTGATGAGTGGCAGATTTTTAGCGATGGGCCCAATCTAAGATCCATAGGCCAATAAAAAAATGTTTTTCGGAATTATAAAATCATTAGTTGATAAAATGATATTTAGTACTTGTTACTTACTATAAGGGGTTGTAAAGTATGTGTTTGACGCAAAAAACCTGTCAATATTGCTTTCATAGCGTCACAATCAGCAATTTTATGATTCGTGAGCGTTCATTCAGAGTGAGCGCTCACGAATCGTAAAATCTCGGATTGCGACGCTCTGAAAGTGGAATTGACAGATTTTACGAGTCAAACACATTCGTTTCAACCTCTTCTGGTAACTTAAAGGGTACATTATATCATTGTAACATCTAATGATTGCATAATTCTGAAAAACATTTTTTATAGCAAGTGAGTGGAAGCAACCCTGCCTTCGATGTGATATTCTTTTTAGATAACTATTTTAAATATCATTGATTTTCTTAGAAAGTATCGCAAATCACTCCAGTAGTTCAAAAGTTATGAATTTTCGAAATTGGGTATATTGGCCAAAAGACGATTTTTGAACCACCCTAACGGGTCTAAAATTGACTGATAAGTAACAAATGTGCAAGGTTTGAACGAGAGCAATTTTTTTTGGTAGGGCATGGAATTGCTGATATTGTATACTTCAAATCAAAAATATTGTTTATTTTCATAGAGTAGGGGAAATGGATGTAATGTCGGCCTTAATGCCCCTAATTTGGGCCCATACATAAATTCAGCAATCGGCTAAATTTTCAATAGCGACCAAAAATATCCATTAGTACCGTCCCAATGATGCGTTCATCTAGATAAAATTCATAAATAGCAGATTTTTAGCGATGGGCCCGATCTTAGATCCATTAGAGCCACTTCCCCTATTTCTAATCATTTTCTCTTTGTCCTTCTTCTTTTTCTTTACCTCTGCTCTTTCCAAAAAGCGCTATAGCCAACTAACGATTTTAAATTGGCTCACTGCTTGACTAGCCTATTGGTCCCAAGCAAATCGTTTAACGTACCCAATTCTAGTCGAAATTCTAGTACTACACAATGTTTGTTTTGATTCGCTATGAAAGTTTGACAGATAAAATGAGGGGTTCGTGGATTTTCCTATGTTTCGAGGGGTGCATCGATTAGCTTGGGACCGAAGATAGTACCAGAGCTGAGCCAAAAAGTTGAGCACGTTTCTTCGGGACCTTCTGGTCTCAGAGTTACCTCTATGCTATAACCATAGCATAAAAGGCTAGGACAAGAGTTAGTGCTCATGTCGCATCTGTCAATGGGAAATGGAGCATAACTTAATCTTTCTAGCCTAGTTGCTTCTAACGACCAACTAATCATATAGTTATCAAAAACGGAACATTCGGTACAAGATGTCCACGTCTCATCCATTTATTAGATTCTGAAGCATCGATGTTTTATGAATCATCTTGCCCCTTAAATGCCGATTTTTGAACCTAAGTCTGTGATCGACTTGGTGAATTCTGACTTAAATTTAACATAGGGGAAATGGCTCTAATGTAGGCCTATGGATTTATGATTGGGCCCATCGCTAAAAATCTGCTACTTATTAATTTTATCTAGATGAACGCCACATTGGGACGGAATTTATGAATATTTTTGGTTGCTATTGAAAATTTAGACGATTGCTTAATTTATGTATGGGTCCAAATTAGGGGCATTTAGGCCGACATTACATGCATTTCCCCTATGTAAAATTTTCAAAAATACCTGGTTATACCAGACTTATTTCTGACAAACAAGGAATTAATTTCAAATAACACCTCATCAAAAATTGGCCGACAGTGGGTATTTCGAACATTTGCCGAGTTAAATTTCACTCATGGCTAAAAGTGACATTATCAAAGTTATTTTATATGTGCGAAAATCCCTGTGCTGTCAATCAACCGGTTTTCGATCAGAACTCGGCCAAGGTTGTCAAAATATTAGGGGTATTCACTGAGCGCATCGTAAACATATACACTATCGTAAAAATAGCAGGGTCAATTGGAGTGTAATGGAAGTTTACGCATTTACGAGGGTTTATACGTTTACGATGCGCTTTGTGAATACCCCTATTATTTCTTGTCGGTCAGAAATAACCACGCTCGGATAGCAGGATTAATCAATAACATTCCATTTGTTCCACCTAATTAATTTTGGTATCCATGACAGATACGTATTTCGACTACAACGTGCAGTCTTAATTAGTGTCATTCCCACTATAGAAGTTATCAAAATCCAACCCCCTTAAGTACTCATCCCCTAGGTAAAAATGTCAAGATCACAGGTATAAAAATGAAACTACAATGTGTAGAATCGGAACCTACCTAACTATTAAAAACCATAGATTTAAGTAAACTAAAGGAGAAAAATCTATACAATTCTCTAATAAGGAAAATTCCGAAAGGCTTGATAGCCATCATAATGGAGTAATGAAATTGGGTTGTTAGCGGAACGGTTAAATAAAACAGCAAAAACAGGGACAACTTTGCTGAAAAGGGCAGTACAGTAACTTATCAAAACTACCCGCAATAAGAATGTAAGAACACAGACAAACAGACGTAACTTTTTCTCTTCAATAGACATACACGCATTTAAAGATTTAAGTATTATTAGTTGCGCGAATCTTCAACCACAGCATCCTTAAATAGCATCGCAAGCTGTATAGAGGTCTTGTAGCATTCTATAAATCTGAATGATGGTCTACAGAGCCCTTTATAAAACCAAAAATGTTACTGCAGGCATCGCATCACTTTGACGTTTCTATACATTCTATAGAACTTGTATGCACCATTGTTGGAGACTTTGAATCAAGCTTTTTTTTACCGCGAATTAATGTCGTTAGTGAGTTCTGTGACGATATATTTAAGGATAAATTATTCGAAGAGTTTTCGGTAAGAGCCTGGTTACTGTGAACTCAATCGATTTTAAAGAAGGAAATTAAATTTTAAACAACAAATAAGTGCATTATGTTCTACAAGACTTATTTATACTGCTTATTACTTAATCCAAACTACAAATATATCGTCATGGGTCGACCATTGATTGACAGTTTGTCACATATGTTTAAAAGTTTTCATCCGATTTTGTTTTAAATTATGCATTTCAAACTGATCATCGTAGCATGTAGTAAGAGAAACTTTATAAAATGCATAATAACTTTTGACCTTGGACGAATTGTGGAGAGTGTGATAATAGCTTCTCATAATACATTTACCTTGCCTAAAATAAAACATTAACATTTGCATGAACCTTCTAGACAACTAACGACAATCTGGGCGATGCCATCCAATTCCTGCGTGACTTTGATCGTGAAGCTGCCGAGATGTGCAATCGGTAAGGTCATAAATATTCCAATGTAAGCTTCTGACCTCTCGAGTAACTTCAAACCCTTCAACAGTGTAGCAAGTGGCGAATGGAAGTACGCCACCAACTCGACGGAATACAACAAGCGTCGCATGCGAGAACAGCAAAACCTTGCTTCTAAATTTGAATGCCTCAGCTGGCGCCGTGCTGCCTCGTTCGATTCATCCACGATTGTTGATTCCGGCATTCGGCGGCAGTTGGGACGAATCGTTCAACCCGGTCGATGTGGCCTGGGCGAGGATAAGTACGCTGAGGTATGCTAACTAACAATGTATGAAAATGTACTTTTGACTATCGGAATCATTGGTTGCAGATAACACACGTCATTTCATTGATGAAAGATAATTACAACAATGCAAAGTTATGTCCGTTTCATGGACCGTTAGCTACCGCTGTGGCATCGGATTCTTCAAAAAGTTCCAATTACGTAACAGGATATACGGCTTACTGTGACTTGAAGCTAGAACCGGACATAGCTCAGATAATGGAAACGAGCCGCATTGAACCTGAGTTGAGGCATTACTGGTCAGCTTGGCGTGAGAAAACTGGTCCTCCGGTGAAGAACACGTTCATGAGATATCTGGACCTAGCTAATCAAGCTGCCGAACGACACGGGTTCAGCGATGCCGGAGAACAGATGCGTTCCATTTATGACGACAGTGACTTCTTTTTTACGGTTAATGATCTTTGGACTCGGGTTCAACCACTCTACAAACAGCTGGTAACTTTTGTAAGGAAGGGTCTCGTGCGGCAATATGGTGAACACGTGGTCCGTAGGGATGGTCCTATACCAGCACATTTATTGGGAAATATGTGGGCACAAAATTGGCATAACGTACTGGACATCGTCAAACCTGGACCATCGGAGACTCCTGATGTAACAGGGGAATTGGTGCGGCAAGGATACACCCCGTTGAAAATTTTCCAAACTGCAGAGGAGTTTTTCACATCCATTGGTCTACCACCGATGGCGCCTGAGTTCTGGCGCAACTCTATGCTGCAAAGGTCAAACGAGATGTTTGGTCATTGTACCGCCTCGGCTTGGGATTTTTGCAACAAGGTAGATTTCCGTATCAAGCAATGCACGCAAGTCAATCTAGAGGATTTCATCAACGCACATCATGAAATGACCCATGTGCAGTACTATATGCAATATACCAACCAGCCATTCCTGTACCGAGAAGGGCCGAATCCGGCGTTCCACGAAGCAATAGCAAACTCAATTAGCTTGTCCGTTGGAGGACCGACTCATTTACAAAAATTAGGACTACTGAACACTGCCGTTTCGGTGCTAAACGGAAACACAATGGTCAACATTGAATACCTTCTGAATATCGCGTTGGACAAACTTCCGTTTATGGCCTTTAGCTTGGCGCTGGAAAAGGTATAATGTTTTGTTTCATTTGAAAACCATGTCATCAATTTATATGTTTACAGTGGCGCTGGTACGTTTTCGAGAAGGGACCAGTCGGTATGAATGCACGCTGGTGGGAACTGCGACTCAGATATCAAGGAATAATTCCCCCTATGGGTCGAGGATTCGAACACTTCGATGCTGGAGCAAAGTATCATGTTATCTCCGACCAGGATTACATAAAATATTTCGTAGCTACTGTGCTGCAGTTTCAAGTCTACTCGGAGCTGTGCCAGGCATCGCACCATGTTGGACCGTTGCATACCTGTGACTTCTACCGCTCGAGAGAAGCAGGCAGAATTCTTGGGTAAGCGTACACTTATGATCTGTGACAGGCTTTTACAAATAGCGGGTTTCTTCCAGTGATGTAATGCAACAAGGAGCTTCTCTAACCTCGTCACAGTTGATAAAAGTTTTGACTAGAGGAAAAACCTCCCGTCTTTCTGTGGAACCATTGTTGGACTTTTTCAGACCGTTGGAAGCTTGGTTGGAGCTGAAGAATAGAGATGAACCGGTATTATTTTGGAAGGAATTAAACAACTTCGAGTCTTCTAAATTAGGATTTATTTTAGGTTATTGGATGGAGCTCGAAAATGGAAGATATTGCCTTGTTTCAGCCTTTTGTGGATCGCAACGGTCGAAATTCTGCGGAAAGTTTAACTTTCGGTGTACTTACTTGTATTGTTATGTCTGTTTGGTTGTACATTAGATTTTAACCGTCAATTTATTAGCATTATTTATTGTAAATATATTGATTTTATTTAAAACGTTTGATTTTTTTTCTGAATCATGCCGAAATGATTCTTCATTCCTTGTAGAACTATTCGATACACCTAGTCTGGTCCCAGCTGATACCGTCACCAACGAGTAGAAGGAGCATTCTCGGTCCCATTTGCGTTTTTGTCAAAACATTTTTTTTTGTCTTTTCAATGCTGCCTATCATAAAGTCCATCAAGAAAAACCGCACCCTGCTTTCTCCAGTCAATGGAAGCCCTGTCGTGCAAGAACAAGATAATCCAATCGGCCATCTTTAAACAGGTTCAAGGGTGACTTGAAAAGCGCTGATCAAAAGCTGCCAGAAAAAATTTAGAGGGTATAAAAAACTAAAAATACTTTATGTATACTTATCATCATCGTTACCGCAAACTTGTGTTACAATCTGTAATTGCTGTTTTCAAGAAATTTGAATTTTGGGAAAATTATATTTGGACCATTTACCCAGAATCTGGATAGGTTTTACTTAAAGAGGCTGAATTTATATAAATTTAGACTCTTTAGTTTTACCACGTTTTACTCACCAAAAAAAACATATCTACTCAGATTTTGACAACCTCATATTTGACCCAGTATTTGACGCATGAATGAGTTGGATCTACTCAGTCACTAGGTTTACTCAAAATAGCGTGGCATAGTATTTAGAAACGTGAATTAACATGGACAAAAAATCCAAATCCAAATAAAAACAGATGCAGTCTCACTAAATCGCTATTCACCTGGTTGACCCCTAGCTTTGTCTTGATGCCAACAAGACGGGCTTTTTTTTATTTTATTTTTTTTATACAGGGGGGAATCTGCTACAGACACCTGAGAAAGAATTCAGGGTGTGGGGATGGGATAATTGCACTCGCGACCCACTAAACCTTACCCTGTGCGCTTGGCCCTTGACCTCCCCGGAACCGCCCGAACGCATTACTTCGTGGGTCCGCAGTCACCACCGCGCTCCAGTTCTCGGTGGTACCACACATCCTAGGGACGATGTTATCCGGACTGGTATCCGCTCCGCATATCGCTAGCATAACGCTCATTACTGGCTCGAAGCGTGGACAGGCGAACATAACGTGTTTGGCCGTCTCTTCGACGCCAGCGCACGCGGGGTAGGTGGGAGTACTTGCATGTCCGAACCTATGCAAGTAACTCATAAAGCAGCCATGGCCTGGCAGGAACTGTGTCAGGTGAAAGTTTACTTCCCCGTGGCGCCTGTTGACCCAGGTTGATACGGAAGCTAACAAGCGGTAGGTCCACCTACCCTTTGTGGAGTTTTCCCACTCCGAATGCCATCTCGCAGTCAACACCGCGCGCGCGTTGTTGCGCACCCCTCGAACGGTCCTCGTGTCATAGCACACCACGTCCTTCTTAATGATGAAGCAAATTGGCATCATCGCTGCTATGACACAGACGGCCTCCCTCGAGATGGTGCGGTATGCACTGGCCACCCTCAAGCACATTAGCTTGTGTGTACTTTCTAATTTCCACCTGTGACAGTCAATATCCAGTACCGCAGCCCACGCAGGGCCACCGTATCTGAGGATAGATACTACGACCCCTGCGAGTAGCCTGCACGTACTGGCACTCACTGCCGAGCTGTTTGACATCATGCGGGATAATGCCCCCACAGCCGTAGACGCTCTCTTGCAGGCGTACTCGACGTAGCAGCCGAAGTTGAGCTTATCATCGAGCATAACCCCCAGGAGTTTCAGAGAGCGCACAGACCTAATTGTGCTCTCGTCGACTGTAAGCGCCGCATGCTGCACCGACATGCGATTGTTGACTACGACCACTTCCGTCTTGTGATGGGCAAGCTCCAGTTTCCTGGATCTCATCCATTCCTCCACAAACTTGACGGAGTGAGCCGCTGTCAGCTCTACCTCCTCGAGGGATTCCCCGTAGACTACCAGCGTGACATCGTCGGCAATACGTACAATTTTCACGCTGTTGAACGCGTTCTTCACGTCTAGAGTTACCACCGCGCAGTAACGAATACCCCTTCGTTTCCGGTGGACCACCTCTGCCGTCTGGATGACGTCGCGGATGGCTTCCACCGTAGATTTGCCTTTACGGAACCCGTACTGGCTGCTTGACAGGTCGTCTACACCTTCGGTGTAAGCCAACAGCCTGTTGAGGATGACCCTCTCAAGCAGTTTACCAGTGGTGTCCAGCAAACAAATAGGCCTGTATGCTACCGGGTCCCCAGGGGTTTTCCTGACTTCGGGAGCAGCCGCTGCCGCTTCCACGCATCTGGGAAGATGCCTACGTCCAGACAGGTCTGAAAAACAGAACGGAACATGTCTGGATTTTCCGCAACGGCCGCCCTCAGAGCCACAACCGGGATCCCATCTGAGCCCGGGGCCTTGCCCACCACCAGAGACTTGGCAATATCGCTCAGTTCTCTGTTTGTCACTCTAGACACTTCTCCCTGATCCGCGATTGGGATCCGCGGCCAGGAGTCTACGTCCCTACGTGGAAACAAGACGGGCCTGGTATAAACTTAATGTATATGGGTATAGCGTATCTTTTGGAAATAGATAGGTTTGCTTCTGATCTGGCGAAATGATACATATGCTGATATCACCGACAGATTGAATATCAGGGGAAACATGTAAGAAGGGTATAACTCGAAACGTAAACAATGACTTTGAACGTCGATTTCTTTCGCATGACCACTAGACTGATGCAAAATTTGAAATTTTCGCTTCACAGTGCTCAAACGGTTTCAAATCAGGTCTTGATTAGCCTCCCAAAATTTATACTCATTTGGTAAGAAACTGACTTGGCACAAACTATTCGAAGTTTATATGAAAATTACTATGGGAAAACCAAACTTTTTGTTCATTGTCTACTGCCCATTTTCCATATTGCTTTTTCGAAAAGTTCTATAACTATTCTTATGGGAAGCTACAACTTTGCGGAATATCGTTTTTCAGCCAAATGTCAAACTAAATAGTTATTAATTGTTTAAGAGATTGATAATCTTATGGCATGATCAGCAGCTGTTCTGTTAGCAACACTATATTCTGCAGTGTGACATAGTAGCCATGATATTTGTGCTCTATTCTTCTCACTAGAAACACCAATGTTGCCTGCTGAACAGTTGAATGAGCATAATCATAAGACATCAGTGACTTGAATCATTAATAACTCGAGGGGGACGACTCTATCTACGATGCAGAAAAGATTGTGTTTTACTGTGGCTAGCTGCACGCACGCTGAGTAGATAGAAGGAAGATTTATGTCGATTTTGAAGATTTCCTGCAAAAAGATGAAGCACGATGCAAGTAGATGGGAAAAATGAAAGATGATTTTTCGAAGATTGATTCGCTAGTATAAGATTTTTTGATCATCTAGAATTGAGATTTAGATGTGTCGCCCCCCTCGTAATAACTTTTGTTCCTTACACGGTGTTTCGCGAAAACCCTTTAATGGGTATAAAAACACCCATTTCCGTTAAAAGTGCTCCTCCTCATTTAATGGGTAAACTATGGTTTACTCATTAATGGGTAAATGGGGGATCTGTCAATAAATGGGTGTTTTTTACCAATCTTCTTGAATTGTGTTTTTCGTAAAATGGGTAAAATAATACCCATTTCTTAAAATGGAGGATGCTGGTGCTGGGTTATTTGTCCTCGTTGATATAAAAAACTTTCTAATATTTGCATTGAAAATATATGCAGGTGTAGCGAAAAAAATATTACACGAGATACCATATATTGGAATCCGTAAATCTCTCCAATGTTTCGGAATCTAACGTTTTCCGGAGATCGTCCATGTTTGCTAAAAAAAAAAGCGGACAGAAACTGTTTGCATTCCCAATGGTCGGTGACGGAATGAGACGATAAAATTTCCAAGTGTTTTTTCACCCATAGTGGGTAAAAAATATACCCATTTTACAATCGTGAACTGATTCTTTAAATGGGTATTTTTTCACCCATTTTACGATTTCCAAATTCCCCCATTTTTTGACAGCTGCATACATGGTTTGAAAATGGGTATTTTTTACCCATGAATGGGTTTTCACGTTCAGATTACAGAGTTATAACATGTTATAGCGCTATATTGATGGTGGTTTCTGTGTTGCAATTATTTGACAACCGTTATAACATGTTATAACTCTCCAGTCTGTACAGCGTTTTACATTTGATTGAAAAGTGGGTTTCAACAAAGTTGTAGCTGGGTAAATTTTCTACAATCACTGCTATCATTTTTAAAAGCATGGTGATGTGGTGAATTGTTAGATACATATGAACAAAAACATAAGTTTTCCCATAGTAATTCCCATATAAACTTGAAATGGTTTGTGCGAAGTCAGTTTCTTACTAAAGTAGTTCAAATTTTGGGAGGCTAAGCAGGACCCAATTTGGAACCGTTTAAGCACTGTGGAGCACCACTGGTAAACTGCTTGAGAGGGTCATCCTCAACAGGCTGTTGGCTTACACCGAAGGTGTAGACGGCCTGTCAAGCAGCCAGTACGGGTTCCGTAAAGGCAGATCTACGGTGGAAATTACTATGGGAAAACTTATGTTTTTGTTCATATGTATCTAACAATTCACCACATCACCATGCTTTTAAAAATGATAGCAGTGATTGTAGAAAATTTTCCCAGCTACAACTTTGTTGAAACCCACTTTTCAATCAAATGTAAAACGCTGTACAGACTGGAGAGTTATAACATGTTATAACATGCTATTTATAACGCTATCTTGATGGTGGTTTCTGTGTTGCAATTATTTGACAACCGTTATAACATGTTATAACTCTCCAGTCTGGACAGCGTTTAACACCCTGCGCAATTGTACAGCAGCGGAGAAGAGAAGCCAGACACACACCCAGAAATAACGAAAGCTCAATGTGTAGCCATCGCTCCGACGGGTCCGACGTAAAGAGCGCGCCTCAGTGGGAAATGGCCCAAGTAACCAAAAGTTCCGCATTCAACGTTTAAAAT